TTATCCCTCCTCATTAAGAATCGAACCCAGGATTTTCAAACCGTAGTCTTAAACCACTAACATCGAATCGTTTTAGTAGTAGAATTCCATGTCCTAAAGAAAATCTGATATAAACAAAATACAAAATAAATTTTTTATCTGGCTACTGTGCCTTTTGATGATTGAATCCCCAACTCTGCCTACTCTTGAGAATGATTAACTAAACTACGTGATCCGTTACAAATTGATGGGCAAAGAAATACCTATACTATTTTTGATCGTATAGCAATTATTTACTACATAACAGAACAAAAAACGGTTTCGAGTCGTCGATTTTGATTTATTATATCACTAAATCGTATTTTACGTAACAAATGGATAATATTAATTATTATTTATATGCAATTGAACGTCATGATTCAATTAATCCATTGACCAACTAATTAGATCTATAAATTGCGTAATTAAAATTGGATAGAAAACACAATTTATCGGATGATGATTAAGAGCGTTGTCACATTTTTCATGCAGAAATCGAGAATTTGGCAGATTTCGAAATGATTTTAGTCATATAATTTATTGTTATAGCTTCTTTTGACTTATATCATCGTAATTATCATACGTTTTTACGGAATGTCTATTGACAAAATCTCGTTCAAATTGGATTTTTGCCTACGAAAACAGCGATTTTCGAAAGCCCGATTTCCAGGTAACTCGCGAAGGCACAACTTTGAACTAATATTACAACAAACTTATTTTTAAGTAAGAAGATAGAATGTATTCATTAGAATAAGCATACCCTGAAGAAGGAAGTGTATTGAGAAAATTTTGATGTTTAATTCATTAAAATGCATTTTTATCATGTCTAAGATAGTCAAAATTCGAAAAAATTACTGCAAGAAAACAGGTCACATCTCATAATCTAAAAGACATTTGGCAACATAAACTAATTTATACTTAAGAAGAAAGATAGTACTATTAATGTGTGAAAAAGAAAAAATATCTATCTTCAATCTTTAAATGAAAAATTAATTTGAAAATACTATAAAATCGGGTGCATCAAATGGCATAAATCAGTCGTGCTTTGGCACTCGTAGACGCCGGGTCTATGTCAGTTGACTGCCCACTGACGTATATGCGTCACGCGTGATTTTTTCGTAAATTGTTAGTATGATTGAGTCCTTTTGATCCGCAAGTATTATTAATGTATTTGTTTAGGTAAATCGGACTTGTAATTTCTTTCTTTTCAAACTTTTTATTATTTTACTTACAGAATATGGGTAGAATAGACAAAAGATATTATTATGGTATCTGTTTGGTCAGGAAAAAATAAATGACTAATAAATGACTTTAACAGGGTGTCAAAACATCAGTCTATGCTATTGAGTTTCTACCAACATAAAATATACTCTTCCTTAATAATAAAAGTTGAATAGCGTCTGTATGGTCACACAACGCTTCGTCATGTTTTTCCGAAAGTCCAATAATTACTGACGACTGAATGAAAGAAATTGGTGCGTAACTATTCATCTGATATTAAAAGATTAGTAATAAAGGGGTAGGTCAGGTAAATGACAAATCCACCAGCGGTCACTCGATGACACTTAGACAAATATTTTTTTTAAAACGTCAACTAAGTTGGTTAGGTATTTGTATTGTAGATACTTATACAAATGAATATATAAAATGAGTTTATTTTTAAAAGTATAGGTACAGGGTGGAAACGATAAGTGATTTCACTTGATTCTTAATTATACAAGATATCGAAAAACTGTTTACTGTTCCTGTAAGTGCTCCACGAGCTCTTTAAAACAATAACAATAAATAGGTTAAAGAATGAACTGGATCTATGCGAGAATTCAATGTTTCCGAATTTCATACTCAATGTATGCCGCCAGCCATACCTACCATATTAGAAGTGTTAAATTTTTTAATTTAAATTTTTAATTGAATAATGTAATCAAACAACAAACTCGTAAATTGCATTCTTATTTAAATTATTTACGGAAAACATGATTTTAGGGTTTACTTGCTACAATATCATCAAGAGATACTAATTAATAAATACTTAATAAACAGATAAAGGGGACGGCATTAAGGCACTCAGAATTCTCAGAAACCATTGATTTCGTGTTTGTAACTGTATGAAAGCTGGAAATATAGATTTTTTGAATAGATTCAGTTCGTTCTTTTAAACATATTATTGATGCTGTTTGCTAGGTCTCATGAAGCACTTTTTCAGATTATTTATAAGAAATATTCGAGTGAGATCACTTATGGATTATTTTCGTCATCCTTATTTGTATTAAATTTAATTAAAGTACACTAAGGCTGAGATGCACCACCTAACTTTGACTCTAACTGACAATAACCGGTGTTTCATGTTAGACAGATTTTTGACATCAAAAATTTTGATGTCAATGTTAAAGTAAGACGGTGCAACACGGCCTAACAAATGTATCGTAGACAGTACTTTTTATTTTCTTCATAAATCTTTCTTTTCTTCGTAAAGCTATCTACAAGCTTTTATTTTCTTTGACATCTGGAGTCGTAAAATCTTGCAACTTAAAATTTACTTACTTCCCGTTTTCCCATTGAGCTGATTTCGTTTCGTTTCGCACTAAATAATTTAATTTACTACACGTGTTTTCATGCGATGGCCAAGTCAATATATTTATGTAAAACGTTAAAGATTTCCTGGACTGGACTTGGTATTACATGGATCTTACAACTTTTTACCGTAGAACAACTGAGTAGCGAGACTTGGTTTTTTGACAAGTATTGTTTTTGATGGGTTTGTATTACAGAACGTATGTGTACATAATGGGAAAACTGTTTAAAAACACGATTAGATAAATTTTGCTCTATGGATAAAAATCTTAAAGTTACCTCTGATTTTTTTTATAAAAGCATTATACGACCGTGTTTTATAATAATAAATTCTATAAAATCACAATGATATCAGTATTTACCTCTTTGATTTACTGACTTGTTTAGACTTACAAAAACTAAATATTTATTATTAACTTTTTGATAATAATGTGAATGGCGCTTACGATGTTTAGTTACGAGCTCTCTGATGGACACAGATATTATAGATATAACGTTTAAAAAATGGCACGCTCGTTTTCATATATTTCATTCTATTTATTTAACCTATCCACATTTACGTGCGGAAACGTCACAAAATCAGAATACATTTTAATTTTTCCATCATAAAAACTAAAAAGTCAAAAGTAAAATTTAAGTAGTAAATATTTTTCATAAACAAGCTTTTGATGCTCTAAAAAGAATAAAATAAAACATAAATTCTTTCAAACCCATCAACTTATTACTTTACTCAATTTAAAGATTAAAAACTTGTCGCGGGATTTACTTGTGTAAAAAATACATTAATTACGTAACTTGATTTTGCTAAAAGTCTGGTCTGAGAAAAAATCAAATAGGTAAATTATACATTATTTCTGTATTATTATGTATGACGTACTGTCTTAGGTACGATACAACTACGGATTAAGATCGTTTAGTCGACGCAGCGTTGAAATTGTAAAGATAAATGCAGTTTGCGCACTCACTACGCGACGTCGAGCAATAAAAACCTAAAATTCGAACGCCAACTTTTTGCTACAACGCTCTTAAGTTATTCATCGATTCAAATTGTTTTAGTTCTCGTGCGATGAGTCAACTTGACATTGATATTATTCATTATATTGAAATGGAACTTGGTGTTTGTAAACAATCAGTTTATGTATCGTAAATATAACGTACTTTTGTTTGTTACTGCATTTAATAATGGAGGAAAGATAGTGCAGTAAAGTACAAAGTTACAAACGCAACAACGATTACATATTTTTTGTTGCTAAAAATCGCAACTTTTACAAATAAATAAGATACACTGTGGCACCTTATGTATTGCCGTCCATACAACCTCATAAGTATTGTAATGTTTCTTTGTAGTTGTTGAAAAGGCTTTCAACTAACTATGACTCGACGATTGTCATAGTTCATAATACTTTATGGCACTGTGTTGTATGTTTGTATTTTAATGTGTTTTCCATATTACTTTCTTTGGATAGTCAGAATATTTAAGTATTGTTTTAAATTCTTACTCGAAGGACGAAGTCAGAAGCCATTACTTACTACCTACCTATAATGTCCTCATTTTATGTGTTCTTGAATTACTTGCATCATTAGTTGACGATTTTTTGATTGTAGTCATATCGTGATATTAATATCACGTGAACACGAAGGTGAATTAAGATAGATTAGTTTTCCCTAATCTTTCTTTACGAATGCACATTCCTTGTGTGAGTGTTATAAAAGAGGAAGTGAAAATAAACAGTCTTTAGTGTAACAATAACCATATTGTTTCAAGCAGTAACATATTTTTCCAAATGATAATAAGCTGTTATGAATAGCGTTCTTGCATGCGAGCTTTAACGGATTCTGGCATTTCGCCAGGGTAGCTTACCACCCGTCTATTGTTTAAGCTATTGTAACTAAGATCTATGCATAGGCTTCTGAAAGCACTGCAGCATACTTAATCATCTCGTCAAGATGAATTGCAAACGCAGAACACTAAAGCGATACCGGGACCGAACCTGGGGCTGGAATTTTGTAATTTTTGAGTTGCTATACAAGTTTAGGTTGCTATGTCATGCCCCGTAAAATAATAGCTTCCCGCAAGTCCGCCACTGTGTATACAGAAATATACGGCATGGAATTTTGACAGCTCACAAACGTACGTCAATGATGATTTATTTAATTGCGCTCTCACCTGGTGATGGCAGATGTGACAGTCGTCCTTTCACTTCAGCGCTCACTAGTTTTGGCTTAACTTTTTCAGCCAAGTGACAGGATCTAACTCCCCAGTGGCGCCAACTGCATAATTAGGAAACCCTCATTGATTGATGGTGTCAAAATACCCTATCTTTAGGGAGCCTTCAACTTTGGACGTCCTTAGTGACGCGATAATGTGCCTAATTAATGTCAAGTTGTTAACCATCAAATCTCTCTTCCAGCCCATAAACAACGCAGACTTCGTGGTGCCGGTAGAGATAGACGGCGCGGTGCACCAGGTGTACGTGTTGAAACGGCCGCACGTGGACGAGTTCCTGCGGCGCTGTGGTGAACTGTACGAGTGCGTACTGTTCACCGCCTCGCTCGCCAAGTACGCCGACCCCGTGGCTGACCTACTGGACAGGTGAGCACAGTGTAGACAGTCAGTGTAGACAGTATACAGGCTACAGTATAGACAGCGGCCTCGTGGACAGTTCCTGCGGCTCTGTGGTGAACTGTACGAGTGCGTACTGTTCACCGCCTCGCTCGCCAAGTACGCCGACCCCGTGGCTGACCTACTGGACAGGTGAGCACAGTGTAGACAGTCAGTGTAGACAGTATACAGGCTACAGTATAGACAGCGGCCTCGTGGACAGTTCCTGCGGCTCTGTGGTGAACTGTACGAGTGCGTACTGTTCACCGCCTCGCTTGCCAAGTACGCCGACCCCGTGGCTGACCTGCTGGACGCAGGTGAGCACAGTGTAGACAGTATACAGGCTACAGTATAGACAGGTGAGCACAGTGTAGACAGTATACAGGCTACAGTATAGACAGCGGCCTCGTGGACAGTTCCTGCGGCGCTGTGGTGAACTGTACGAGTGCGTACTGTTCACCGCCTCGCTTGCCAAGTACGCCGACCCCGTGGCTGACCTGCTGGACAGGTGAGCACAGTGTAGACGGTATACAGGCTACAGTATAGACAGCGGCGCGATGGACAGTTCCTGCGGCGCTGTGGTGAACTGTACGAGTGCGTACTATTCACCGCCTCGCTCGCCAAGTACGCCGACCCCGTGGCTGACCTGCTGGACGCAGGTGAGCACAGTGTAGACAGTATACAGGCTACAGTATAGACAGGTGAGCACAGTGTAGACAGTATACAGGCTACAGTATAGACAGCGGCGCGTGGACAGTTCCTGCGGCGTTGTGGTGAACTGTACGAGTGCGTACTATTCACCGCCTCGCACGCCAAGTACGCCGACCCCGTGGCTGACCTACTGGACAGGTGAGAACAGTGTAGACAGTATACAGGCTACAGCGTAGACAGTATACAGCTACAAATACGTTCAGTTGTGTACAAAGTTGTGACTTGTTCCGCAATTTGTTCCAGATGGGGCGTGTTCCGCGCGCGGTTGTTCCGCGACAGCTGCGTGTTCCACCGCGGCAACTACGTGAAGGACCTCAACAGCCTCGGCCGCGACCTCCGACGCGTCGTCATTGTCGACAATTCGCCAGCTTCGTACATATTCCACCCGGACAATGCTGTGAGTGTTTATCTTACATTTTTAGGGAAATTTACAGCTAAACATCTATACATAGACTCATAATCGGGAGGCTTTCTGTACGCTTAGATAAAGTTTAAAGAAACTACGCAACCGATTTTAATGCAGTTTTCAGCAAAAGATATCATGAGAAGCCGGAGCGGATCGCTAGTAGAATTTACAACTTGCTAAAACTAATATAAGTTTCCATTTAAAGAAAAAACAGTGTTAAAATACTCGTGTGCTTTCACATTTTTATCTTTATATTTATCTTACTTATGCACAACTTGCTGCAAGAACTAACCTAACTAAACGTACAGCGGGGAACAATGTGTATTATTGTTTCCCGCTGTCTCTCTATCTCTTTCGTTCTCACTCTTTTCAGTCTTTCCCTCATTATTTAATATTGATGACTGTAACTTTTCCTTTTAGAAAAAAAGAAATGAATCCGTCCCTCCCCTCTTGACTGACCTATATTGTAATTCAGTAAAATACAGCTAATCAGTTTTGCACGATCTAAAATAACTTAACCCACTACTGCTTTGGGAAAATTACGGTATTCACTTCTAAGAATGCACCAGATTACATCAATTTTCTTGGCCTCGAAATAACTACCTTGTGCTGTACAAGTAATACAAGGTACGGAAATTAGAAGTGTTATTTTCATGCGCTCACCATTGTAACAATACCTGCTGTGCAATGTTGAACAAAGTCTACTCTGTCACTGTGTTAGTAAGACTCGGATTTATGCGAGATGATTTGTTTTACGAGATTGAAAATTTTAACTTTCAAATGAAATTAGTTTATAAGAAAACTAACGGGCCGCCCGCGACGTGTTGATTCGTACGTGTGGATCCCGTTTTATCCCCTTAGGGGTGGAGTTTCGTAAAATCCTTTCTTAGCGGATGCCTACGTCATAACATCTGCCTGCATGCCAAATTTCAGCCCGATCCATCAAGTAGTTTGGGCTGTGCGTTGATAGATTACTATGTCAGTCAGTCAGTCAGTCATCTTTGAGTTATATTTATTTTTAGATTAAAAAAGTCACTAACAATGACTACAAAATGATGATAACATGTGAACTAGACTTAGTTCCGTTTAAAATGTATTTTGCCTAATGCCATTAGTTTTTGGTGTCAATAGGAATTGCATTCAAGGCAAGTGTCCTGGCCAGTCAGCGCGGATGATAAGAAAAGATAACACGGTTACACGTAGATAATGAGACAATGAGGTTTTATGATGTTAATGTCATTGTTCCTGTATCTTGGATGATAACTGCTGTCTGCCTACCCATGACAGTCACTGTTTCTAATAGTATTTCTAGAATTTTGTTTTGTAGAGTAATGGATGTACAGATGATCACACATCGTACCAAACACATTAGCACAGTGGTTCCCAAAGTTATTTTGGCTACGACTCATCTAATACAAGTTCCCAAACTCTCGACCCACCTAAAGGAAATTTCGCCCGCTGCCCAGTGGTTGGATCGGTAGGGTGGTGTGTCGTTCTACAGGCAGGGCCCACTTAATGTTCGCTCGCGACCCATAGTTTGGGAAACCCTGCTTTAGCATCTTTTTCAGTAGTTATATTATGTGCTATTTTGCAACGTAAATGTTGAATTTTATTCGCAGCAATAAGGTTAGATTTGAATCTGGTTTAGATTTGAATCATCACTCTTTTGTTTCAGTCTGCAAGATATTATCGTTGGAAATCATATCTCATAACATGTTTTATTTGCAGGTACCTGTCGCGTCATGGTTCGACGACATGACAGATTCAGAACTATTGGACTTGATACCGTTTTTCGAGAAACTAAGCAAGGTGGACAGTGTATACACAGTGTTGCGCAACTCCAACCACCCGTACAACCCGACACAGAACAGCTCGCCGGCCACATAGCCGCGGCCCCCGCCCCCCGCGCCGCTGCGGGCCGCGCACAGCGCTCGCGAGCGCGCACGCCATGCTCGCGAGCGGCCGCGCCACGCTCGCGAGCGGCCGCGCTGCGAATGCGCGTGCTCGGAGCTCGCGCCCGCGCCGCGGCCCGCGACCTTGACGACCTTCCTCGAAACGATCATAAAGAAAGGAGCGAACTTCGTCTTAAGTGCCAATTTTGCCTTCTGGATAGTGAGGACGTTGTTTGTACCTATTTTACAGTTTAGGTATTTCCTAGTGCGTAAGTGGTCCGTCTGATGGATATGTGATGTTTTTTTTATTTAGCGCTGACGGCTTGCGGTGATCTTGTGCGTGCGTCCTCGACTCTGCGTGAAATTTTGACTTTTTAACCGTTTACCTCTTTTTTGGACGTCTTCGATGGTACGATTTCTCTTTCTATATCATGCTTGGGATCAAATACGAGTAAGTTAGGATACTTCGTCGACGTGGTCGCTACGTTTTAGTTTAGTTCGTCCGGTTCGATAGACCGCCGCCGCTCGGCGTAGCTCCGATGCTTGCTTATCTGTGCGCTGTAACATAACTCGATAGACTTGTAACATAATCACGGATTCTAAACAAATTCGACTGGTAATAAGGTAGGTGTCCAGTTAAGCGAATTTGTAAATATTTTTTATAAACAGGACGACGCTTGAATCATTGATTAGATAACTACGATTGTGAATAATTGTAATGTATATAATTATTGTATAACTATGATATAAAAAGTAAAATCAGGTGAAATATAGCACTTAAGGTGAGTAAGATCGCGCACTGTCATATTATTCGGCGTTACACTATTTTGTATTATGTGATGAAAAACAAAATGCCATATAATTTATCTTATTCTGAACCGTCTCTACGCATCTGTTATTATAAGTTACCGATTGTAACTATGAGATTAAAATTTAGATATAAATAATAATAAATGTTGTATGGAATATTAAAACACATAAGGTATTTTGATCACATTATGAAATAGAAAATAGTGTAAACAGACTACTCGTAAGGTCTGTACACAGTAATATATTGTATGTATAATAATATGCCTATGTTAGGAGCCGTGTGTACACATCTTTATGTACTGCAGTGATTATTAATTATATATTTTTCATTATTGCATTCGTGACAATAAGAAGTCAATCGCGTGAGTGTCATATGAGTTACTAATGTAATTTAAATAATTATTTTATTAAACGGGTGAACAATATCAGATCGACTTGGCATCTAATTGTATTAACTAATGCTATCGTATAGAAGGAGTAGACGTCGTACTGTTCACCGCACATCAGAATATAATTTTTAGTTGCAAAATCGCTTCTATTACAGCTTCTTAAAGTTTACATTGATGTGTCGTCATAAAATGTCGTGATAGTCGAAAATGCTTGCAAATGGTGTACCTACAACACTTTGTTCTTTTGAACTCTTAAAAATATAAAAATACTCGAGTTCTAAAGATAGTTTTGTCTCTCAATTTAAGTATTTGGTAATAGGATGGCTGATGTATGTTGCTTACTTCCAATCAAGCCAAAGCGGTCCCAAGAGACTGTCCTAACAATTTATGTATCTATGTCGTTTTACTAACACAAATTTAATCATTGTCTTCGTTATTAACTATCCTATAATGTAAACATTTTCAGTTTGATGTCCTGGGAAAGAATTTAGTACAATTTTACGTTTTACGAAATGTTCAAATACAAACTAATTCCCATACAGCCATGGATTCTTACGGATTTTATACATCACTGTATCAATTTCGACTGTGACACATTTTTTAATTATTTTCCGTTTTTAGGGTTCCGTAATCCTGACAAGGAACATAGGTATATAGTTTCGTCATTATATCGTTAGCTCTTCCATTTTTTATTCAAATTAAAATATAACCGCGTAGTTACTGTAGACTGCCATTTGAATTCCGCTACTATACGAATATTTGTTTTGTTTTAAACGGTAAGCTTCATTGCGATAGAAATAAAAACGCTGCATCTAACTTATGATATCGTCTCAGTATTAAACTAGTTTTGTAGTATTTGATGCCATTTTACACAGGATTATTCTAGATGATGTACCTATAACTAAAATATTTTATTATACAAGTTTTGGATGTCAAGATCCCATTTATAGGAGAACTACAAAAAGGGCGATATTTATATGATTTTCAACTTATGAATTGTTTTAGCCTTAAGACAAAATGATAATTGACCCCAATTAAGTCCTATAAGCAATTTTCTTATAGTCTATCCAATATAGCTTGATTAGAATGACAGCTGTCATCAAAAGTAACGACATAACTTTGTAGTAGCGATCAATGAGAGCTAAATATTGGCGGACAAGAAATAATTCACGTCTAACCTACAAACAATATTTTCGACGACAGTGCTTCCAATAAAAATGATAATTTCGTGTAAATGCAGCGTTAAATTACACCAATAAGTAGTAATTCGAAATTATAAAAATCAAGCTAGAGTATTAACGACGTCTCTACAAGGTTATCTCGAGTTACAAAAATGTTAGTGTTGGGACATATCGACAAATGTCATATTAAATTAAAACCATGGGGTCCAAGCGCTCGTTCCTTTTATAAGGAACTGGCAAAGAGGCTCACCGAGGTGACCGGTGATCAAAAGGCTGGCAGCTATTTCGGCCAGAGAATTAGCCTGGCCATTCAACGTGGCAATGCTGCCAGCCTTTTGGGCACCATTCCTGACTGCGGCGCTGGGGGTGAAGTATTTTTATTTTGTAAATAGGTTTTATCATTAGTAATTTTAAAATTTTAGTTTTAAAGTCATTTTAAATCAAAACTATTTTTTTAACATATTTAACAATTTTTTTTTCTAACTAATTTTTTAACATATTTAAGTCAAGTTATACGTTATTCTAAATGTTCACTATTAAAAACCGAAAAACATTTCATTCTTAAATAATCAAACATCGGAAATCAATCACCGGTATTTTTTTGGGTATTCATAGCACCGTTGCTCTAGAAGAGATGCCCACCGCCCTCTAGCGAGAGGAAAAAACCACTGAAGAACACTGATGATAATGACTACGACTTAGGTTGTACACCCTTGACATGAATTTTAAATTTTACTGTCTTTAAATTTAAATCATAATTGTCATTTTTATGAATAAAGATATATGAAGAAAAATTGGGTGCATTTTTTCATATCATTTTTTCGAAAAATTATCGATACATCTATGTGAACCGTACGAAACATACCCATCACTAGTCACATTCGTTTGACAGCCGTCATTCTAATCAAGCTATATTGGATAGACTATAATACGCCTTCATGATCTTCAGAAAACCTCAAAATTCAAAATTATGACTATCGGATTTATATAAGAATTGATTAATTAGGTAATATAAAATGGTGCTTTCAGTATTAGTTGATTAAGCAACTCGAAATTTCGACTGTTAAGGAACCTATAGCACTTCTGACGCACATTTGACACCTACGATTGGTTTAAGGGTATATTGACAAGTACTGAGAATCGGCACGAAGCATTTTATCAGACAGTACACTTCGCCTTGGCTCGCACGATGCCATCTATTTATTGTTTTAATTGCTTAGCAAAAAAATCGTTTTATTGTTTTTTTATAATTAATTTTTAAACAATATCAATCTATTATTGTTTTGGTATTACACGTGTAAATAAGATTTTTATTAACTTAATGAGACGGAAGCTCGATTTTTAACACATTTCGCTTATATGGTTTCATTATTTTCTTAGTGTACATGTTAGTTTGTTATTTAGTGGCTACACGCAGGTATGTATGTACCTCTATACGTATATTTGGTTAAGTATACGCAATCGCTAGTTGTATCAACGTGTATCTTAGAGAGAACCATTGCCCGATTTCCCGCCGACCAGTAATCCACTTAGGTCTGTAAAAGTATAACCGCACTTGAGCTTGACTGTTTTTCTAGTAAGGTGGATCATGTTTATAATTATGACGACAGTCTAAATTGTACTGTTCTAATTCAATGCCGGTATAACAAAATAAGGTGTATTCCACGGCGTCGTGTCGCGTCGTAACATAATTAAGTTTGTTTTCTGCGCATGCGCCGTTTTGACGGGCCACGCCCCCTATAAGTCACGTGACTGTGGGTATAACACCTCTATAGTTCACCACCTTGCTAGAAATTACATTTACAAATTGACCCAATCGGATAATTTTTATGATGGATGATAATTAATAATACGCTACGATTGCCAGTAACCATGAAGACCGGGAAGTACGTAAAATAAGAACGTGAATATCAAATTATGAAAAAAATATTTGTCAAATATGTAATAATGGGACGCGTGTGACCATGTAAGCTAGCAAGTGTGGATTACTAGGCAAAGCAGTTATTATCATTATCACCTATAGACCACTGTAGACAGCATTTATTTGTAAGCATTAACACGTAGGGTAGGATGTTATAGTAATATATACGTTGATTTCTCTAGTTGTAAGCATTCTGTTGTTTAAATGACGCGTTTTTTTAAACAATGTTTAACTTAGGCTTACTAGAACATGTCCCTGTGTGACTTAGAATTTTATCTACTTTTTATTGTAAAGTTTGACTATAAAAATCGTCCAACAGTGTTATTTAGAATGTAATATTGTTAATTTTATTTAAAATTAAATGCATGCAATAAAATTTGGTTGATATTTTTTAATAATATCTTATTACTTATATTAATGAAATGTAATAAAATTATTTTATGTCTAACATCTAACTAGCGAGATTGGGTATTAGTGCTGCAACGTGTGATTGAAATAACGCAAATGCTGGTATTTATTATATTTAATTGATGCAGCTTATGCTTAATTACTGTTAAAGATTTTTTTATGTTTATTAAATTCTTATATTCTCAAAATGGCGAAAGCGCACTTGCTGCGTTTGAGCGTGATTTATTGTCTCAGTATGACACAAAATAACCTAACCTGAACAAATTTCAGCATTTGCGTTAATTCAACCACACGTTGTATAATTAATTATATTTGCAAAATATTTTTATATTGTAATTTAACATTGGTGTATAGAAAGTATTGATTGGTAATCGGAGACAGATTTATATGCAATGAAAATCTTTGGTATATTCCTTTTTATTGAGATTTTTTATGTGGAAAGTATATTTTATTCCGTGGTGCTCTTTGACGAGATCATGTGACTTCTAATGGAACGCAACATTATAATTATTGTCTACTTATGAATTTGTTGTTTGCATTGAAATTAATTCAGGGGTCTACTTTGTAAAACGATTTTGGTATATCGGCTCTAAACTTCTCTCTCATTTAAAACGGCATCCTGGGGTGAAGAAGGGAGACAATATAAAAACAATAAGATCTATTTTTTTTTAACTCGATAGTTGCCAGTTTGAAATCCGTTGGCGGTGGATAATAAAAAACACTACTTAAAAACTTTAACTTTACTTAATTAATTCTCGCTCACGCTGTGGCAATTATTTGGCAATTTATTGTTACGACTAAAAATGAGAAAGACAGTTGAAACACGAAATATCTAAATCGTTTTCTGAATACCTAGCCCACTGAATTTCCTTTTTATTTTATTCTTGACCGAAATTAACTTCATTGTGATTGTGAAGTAATTTTACATGCCAGATTGTAAAAAACTGTGTGTTCCATTATTTGTTAATCAAATTAACTCTATTTCATGTTGTTTTAAAATGGCGATGTTGTTGTAACAGTTGTCTCTTCCTCCTGCATTGTCTTCTTATTTTGCTTTGAGACAAAGTACAAATACCAGCGGTTGGTGATCCGAACAAAATCGTTAAGTCAGTTATTTTAACCTTTCGAAGTTAAGGTTGTGCCTGTGCTGTACTACATATCTTTAATTTGACGCTATTCTATGTGTTTTATTGGGAAGCGAAATTCTTGCCTGTAAATAAAGAATACTCTCGAATGTCTAAAGCTAATCAAACTTGTCACTGCCCAACTTTATATCTAAGGCCCCAAGTTCTGGTTTGCAAAAAATAAACGACAAATAGAGCATTTTTATTATAAAAGTACTTGCAAATCCACTTCTGCCGATTTCACAGTATTCCGCGCATGTGCAATATTCTTTTAACGCTCCGACCATCCAATGTTCCATATTTTTGTAGATTTCAATATTTTTAAGGTTCGATTTCACTTAACAATGAATTAATACAATAAATTAGGACTCATAACATTGTAGATATCTTGTACAGCATTACTTGACAGGACGGTATTATGAACATTTGTACCTATCAGAGACTAGGCAAGTGAGAGGACTATAATTAATATATTTATGTGTAATAGCCATCAAAATAGGGAAAATCACGAGAGTAGCTAGGTAACATTTACCTGAGACGAAATTTATATTACGGTGTACATTTTTGATATGATGTTGTACAAAAGAGACCTTTGGTATGTTATTTTATAGGAATGAAATAAATAGCCTTAATAAACAAACGAAATGGCTTTCATTTTAAAACCTAATTTATCATTTAAGTTAATCTAAGATAAATTAACCTGGATTTCAGTGAGGTAGATTGAAAAAATACACATTTGTTTTCTGCGAACTTTATTAAAGTTTAAATATTTTAAAATTCAAACGCACACCTCAAATACACAATAATGTGACAAGAATGATATAAATATTATAATTATGTAACGTTTATAGTTTCTACCTATATGATATGGTAGGGACTTAAGTTAAATAACTTTAACAGACGATCCGTTTAACATTGCCAAGTCATTGTTTTTCGAATGTAGGTGTTACCAGTTACAATAATTTTCCTTTTCCTAATTAATCGACAGTTTGTCACAACATATCATTGACGATTCTCATTTGTACTACTGACCTTTGGATTAGTTTTCTTATTTTAATTCTATTTAACGACATGAAAACATTTTTAACAGCTTTATGTTTACAAAAGAAAACAATAATTCTAACTTAATCTAAGCATTTTATAACATTTGTCATGTTCAAAATATAGGTATTATTTATTATTTCGCAATTTAATATAATTTAAGCTACAATAAATATTTCATAAAAATAACGTCTACTAACTAACACTACTTACGCATAGTTAAAGCGTTGTATAATGAGATGCTATTATGTTTGAATGAACTTAAATAATACAAAAACAAAAAATATGGCTTAATACGATTACGAATTTTTATGACTCCTTAGCTAAATATTTTGGAACACCTCCCTTTTATTTGATCAATTTATTGCTCAAGAAATAAGAGAATATTTATAAATATGTACTACATAAGAATATTATAAAGGATTACACTGCGGAACAAAAAAAATAAAAAAATCTGCGGCATCTATTTTGTTAATGGATTTTGTAAATACTTGTATTAGACATAAATGGTGTGCATTTACTTTCTTTGGATTGACTCTGGTTCTTGAGATAAACGAGACACAAGAAATCAATGAAAAAAATTAAACGACCCTCCCTAAACTTATATTAATTTGATTATACCCACTAAGTTTTATTTTGTACTCATGTATTAGTGTAGTTGTAGTTACAACAATTTAGTAATCAGCTACTAGACCTTGAAATTAACAGTTTGTGTCTTTTAAATCAATTTTTAAAGAGCTTTTTTGTCTCAAAAATATGAGTTCATTATGAAAACCTTGCGTTTACAATCCCAACAGTTTTTGTTAATATTTGGCTTCTAAACTTACAAAAGCAAAGAAATAAGATCACGAAGGTAGTGATAAAAACCTACCAAGCATACTGTCTTATAAAACTTCCATAAAATAATAAATATTGGGGGTCCAATATCGTCTGCAAGACTCGTGAAGATTCTTTGCCATACTGGAGTCAAGCTGGACATAAAGGACTTCAATTTAGAAAGCCAAAGATATGAACTGAGCTTTCTAATCACTAAAATGATCAAAAGTCAGCCAAATTAAAGTCCTTTACGTCCTGAAACGTCCGTTTGAATACGGAAAAAATAAATTCGATTGACCGCAAATCCGTACTCTTATTAAGACACTGTATTTGTAAACCACATAACACAAATTGAATCTGAAGCATGGCTAAGCTTTATTTTAGTAATCAAACAATATTTGGGGAGTCATAAAGCACCAGGCTTTTCAGAATTGGTTTTTTGAAAAATTTAACACATAAGGATCTAATTTGAGTATTAATATTTTTTTAACAATAGCCATTTGGACACGTTCTCCCATAATCTGGGTGATTACAGTGAGGAATAAGCAGAACGGTTCTACCAGAACATCAGGATAATGGAAGAATGACATCCACGGTCAATGGGACCGCCAGATGATGGCTCATTACTGTTGCCATAATTATGGAATTTTCCTGACCAAAACCATAACATAAAAGCTTACAGAAAAAGCTTTTTGTAGTTTTTTTTCTATTATTTGATGAAAAGCAAATATATTTTTAATTTTTATATCGTTCTTAAATAGGATCTTAGTGTAAATATTTTTTTTATACAGATTGGTATTTTTATTTTGTTTTTTTTTCATATAAACAGTTAATAGTATTTATCTCAAGATCTAGAGTCAATTTGACAAATCTAATATTTTTCTAGTATTCAGTACACTAGTCGCATACAGAATTGACTCTAAACTACCATGCCGCAAAATGACTGTTCCCCAGTGTTATAAGTCCTACACAAGAATATTAAATTCTAACCTAAGATATTCTACATAGAAAAATAATAACTTGTTCTTTATGTTTAAATAGAAAAATAACATCTAAATAAATTCAGTCGTACAATTTTGTAGAAGATAAGACTAAGTAAATAGATAAAAACTAAACAAATTACAAATGAAATCATAAAAACTGCTTTGGCACTATAATTTTGTAAATAAAGCGGCCTTACTTGCACAAATGAAATAATAAAACTATAGTCTGGTCTGTGAGCACGTAGAATTTTTTTCCAATGACCCCAAGCTACCCATCCTTATCGCTCGCGCGTAATTATGTTGCTGTCGCGCTCGCACACTCACTGCGGGCGCCCGTCGCGAACGATAAGGATGGGTAGCTTGGGGCATTGGACAAAATTCTACGTGCTCACAGACCGGGCTTTAGAAACAAAACAATACATAGTAACGCAGAAATAAATATTAAAGACAAGATAGGAGTATTACAACATACACGATGGCTAATCAGACACTTTAATATAATTAAAAAAAATAAAAAATAAACCACAATTATTATAGGAGCGTCACAAATGGAGAAAACTAAAAATTTATCGTCTAGGTAGACATCTAACTAAAAAACTTTATCACATTTTAAAATATGTAGCTCATACGGTTCTTAATTAAATTAAATGTTGATTTACTTAGTAGACATTTTTTGTTTTGTATTCCATTAAAAATATTTTTTGGACACCAATACCATGATAAAAATAATAATTTCATTATTAATACACACACATGACAACTACATGGTAGCTGTAAAAAGAAATGAAAATAATCTACATTTGTTTCAAACAGGTAGATACAGGATGAATTTTCCATGTCAACAAATTATTATAAGTTGTTAATTGATATTTTATGTATGGGGTTAAAAAAATATAGGTCATGAAAGTAATTAAGTAACTTCAAATGTGATGACTCCATTTTAAAATTCATTAGACCCCCTATTAATATTATTAAGCTATTCTATTTCTTTTAGTTTCAGTTATTGAACTACTATTTCTTATAGTTTCGCATACATTTGGAAAATTCATCCCTATATACTTTACCTTTCATTCTATAATGTAGACATTTTAGTTACTAGTAATAAGCTAACAATATTATATGTATAGTAATTTCCGCCTAATTTAATGAACACCTAGCGTATGTAAATCGGCAAATTATTGCGAAAGCTAATAACTATAATACCTGTCCCATAAAATTCCATGAAAATCCAATAAAAAACCAAAAAGATATTATGAAGGTAAGACATGGAAAAATAAGAATTCGACATCAAAATGTCTGAATGGAAGAAATTAAAAAGAAGGTCTTTTTTTTTCAATTAAATAAAGTAGCTTTTAAAATTCAAAATTCCTTGAAATTTTCATTGAATTGTATTGAACAGACATAATACAACGCACCATTACGTATTGCGAGATCATTGCGTTTCGAACCATAATTTATTTTTCTACTAGTTGATCGACATCTTCTCTTGAAGTATTTGGAAGTAGCATGCCTGGAATAAAACAACATAATATTTAATTAATTTCATCATGAATAAGCTTCTCCATTTATAAAAACTGAGACACCCTATGGTAGTGAAGCTATTTATTGTTATTTATTGGTCTATTTTCCAGTTATTATTAGATTTGAGGAATCGTAAGTCTTAACTGCTATGGCGCAGTTACACTATGCGCAAAATTGATCGAATAGATTGTGTAAACACGCAGTTCAGTTCGTTTCGTCGTGCGTCGCCCATACTTTCATGAGCGTGTCCACGCTTGTGTTCGATCAAGTTTGCGCATAGTGTAACTGCGCCATTAAGGAAGACTGATTTCACTTGTTTCAACTCGCACAAAATAATAGAAACTTTAGGTTAGTTAACATAAGATCAAGATTCGCATGACACTAAACATCCCCAGAAACTCCCTTTAAGCTACATGCTGCTACTGATAACACCAGTACGCCACTTTTGTATAGATCGTTTCGTAAACGAAGACGCACCCCACCATTCTTCCGCTAATGTCTGAGTGTACACGCTAAATTATCAATGAGTGCACACGTACACTACATTAATGACGCTCGGATTATTAGGATCAAACTCCCCGCACTCCACGCTTCCATCGACCAAAAATTGGTGGGGCGCGTCTTACGCCCGTTTCCTATATTAAATCCTTGTCCAAATCCGGATTACAACTGTCAAATTGAATTCAGTTTTAGATTATATTTCCAAAATGTTCGATGCATTTACACTTTAATATTGTTTAAATAGTCTTATAAACAATATAAAAATATTAAACATAAAAAACCGCAGATATTTTGGCCAAAAACATTTTAAAATTTGACAGTTGACAATCCAAATCCGTCCAATTTGGATTAGGATTAAATATAGAAATCCAGTATTAGTGATCATGATCTATAGCGGTGGTTTGTTGTCGACATGGCAAGAAGAAGAAGTCGCCATAGATTGGAAGCCATATTGTTGCCTTTACGCACGCGATACTGACCTTTAACGTCGTGAACATAAGGCCTAATTCTCCATGCTGCACGGCGGGCTCGAGGAAATCTTCCACGAAGTGTATCTCCGAGCCGAGTTGTAAGACGCGCGCGCGCACCACTACAAAATGGAAGACCGGGAACAACTCGTCCATACTCCAGAGGTAGTTTGAACCTACGAAACAAAGTTTTTTTAGTAATACAGGGTGATTTTTGTATCAGTATCCAAATTTTCAAAATCGACTCAGAATCAGTAACTTAATTGATTTACGTAAAGAAAACAAACCGCTGCGCGCGGTTTCCAAATTGACTCATGTGGAAAATTTGCTTCGTTCATGGAAAAATACGTACACACAGTTAACTGCAAAGCTTAATAGACATAATGGTGAACGAAAATAAGCAATAACCTTTAAAACTTAAGATATGGGCACCCGCGGATTAGACTTTAAATTTTTTTTTGCGAAAAATACCACAATTAAAAATAGTTGTATTGTCAAATTGTTCTAACGAGCTTATTAAAAAAATTTGGATACTGATAACAAAGTCACCCTGTATGAACGACTAGCTTTTGCCCGCGGCTTCACCCGCGTGAAATTTCCTTTGTCACAGATCGTCATAAATTATAGCCTATGTTATTCTGGGTTATAAACAATAATACTGTAAAGTTTCATCAAAACTGTATTCTATTTATTCAAAAAAATATTACTGAATTCAAAAAGAAAAGTGATATTCACCAAATTAACACTAGAAATAAAAATAAATTGGCTATACCCGCTTTTAGACTTAATAAAGTGTTTGCCTCTTTTATGGGACAAGGTATCCATTTTTATAACAAAGTCCCTGATAAATATAAAGAGCTACCGTATAATAAATTTAAAGATATAGTTAAAGATCACATGCTTAAAAAAGCCTATTATACAACTCGAGATTTTCTTAATGATAAGTCATCCTGGGAGTAGGATTATGGTCCTCTCATGCTCGCACTAAAAAGAATTAAAATGAAAAGTAATGTATGGTGTACAAGTAATGATTACTGGGTCCTATTTATGAACATTTACATATTGGTTGACTATATTGAGAATAAAATGTGATGTAATGTAAATTATAATGTTACTGTTAAAGCAATGGTGGAATTCCTTACTTCAGAATGTTTATTATATTACTGTTACGGGACCAAACTACTTAGAAGGAAAGCAAGTGATAAAAAAAAAAAAGGGTGATTAAGAATATTATTTTGGTAGCAATGCTGGCACCAATGAAGGTAATGATTTAATATTATTTATTAGACAAAGGAGTGAAAAGTATGCCGAAGAGCAAGCAGTGCTCACTTAATCGTGAAATGGATGCTGAAGCTTAAGCGGTGCTCACTCAGTAGATAGCTGAATTATTTTAAAACTACATTATGAGTAAAATAAAGAAACGCTGGTCTCAATGTGACAATTTTATACGATTTACTGAATTGAAATGGAACGCTAATGTTTATAAATCTTATATTATTATGAGTGAAAAGGAGGCCGAAGTGCAAGCGGTGCTCACTTTAATTGTGAAAGGGATGTCGAAGCACAAGCGGTAGTCACTCAGTACCTGAATTATTACGAATATGTATATTGTTAGTGAAAAGGGGGCAGAAGTGTAAGCGGTGCTCACTCAAAAATGTGAAAGGGATGTCGAAGCACAAGCTGCGCTCACTCAGTACCTAAATTATTATAAGTTGTAAAATTGCTACACCCTTACAGAGTTAATATTAAGTATGAT